AACATCTAAACAAGCGGTCGAAACTTCGTTTGTTATATTAAGATAAGATTGGCCGCGATCACAAAACGGGTTGAACTTGTCAAATTTAATCGTTCGCTTGGGTCGTGCTTTTCAAAGATTCAAGACTCGGACTTGAATCGAGACTCGGAATTAATTCGAGATTCGGATTTGACTCGAGATTCGAATGGCCCGTGACTCGACATGAATTACGACTCAGAATTAAGAGACATGTACCAAATACTGGTCTCTATATGAGCAATGGTAGAAGTAACAATTATCTGCATGTAATATTTAACCCAACATTTTGCATTTTATTTTATATTTTATGAACATTTTTATATGGCGAATAGGAACATTTTTGGACTTCTCTTCCCGTAGATCTAAGCATTGTTCTTTTTGTGTATGATATATATAAGCAATAATGTTATTCAATTAATGTTTTCTTTTGTATAAGCAATGATGTTAGGGGTCAGGGGTCAACCAACATAATACCAAGCCTAGGTATTTTCCTTGCAGTGTCGCTTGAAATGCGTCAAGTCTTGTTCCAAATAATTCATAGCTAACCAGTAATTCTTTTTCCACTTTTAGTTAAAATTTTGAGACTTTGCTCTAAGTCAACTTGTAGAATGGATAAACATAGGTTCTTCGTGGTTGCCCGCAACTTTTCTAACAATACTCTCAGTTGTTGGACCCTAGGCTTCCCAAACTGATATCGAGACCCTGCTCATCACATATTTTGGATGTTGCAAAGAGTCCACCAATTTTACACAAAGTCCTTTTTTTAGACTGAAAGGGGGTGGCGAGCTCAAAAGTTTAGGAAGTCCTGCCCTAACCTATTGTTAGATATCACTCGCCACTTGTATTTGATCTTGTCGGGGCCAAAAGCGCGATTAAGCGTTGTATGAAGAATATTCAAAGTGAATTTTGAACGAAAAATTGTCGAATGATGACATGGCTTGAAATGTAAAATGGTGACTCATGTTTTCTTCATTATATAAATAACAAAACAATTTTGAACTCTGGCGACGTTGACAATAAACAGAGAACACAATTGATGGCTGAAACCAATCAAAATCGATGTTAAAACAAGATAAGCCGGTTTCGTGTTTTGGCGCCACAAAACTAAAAACACACTGTAATTTAACTTGTATTTCGTTGTAATTGCTTTCGTAAACCGTAAATTGAATAAGGGAGTACTGGCCCCCTAAATGTTGTGAGGTGCTTCGAGCAACATTGTTACCGGTCTATCAGTATTTGAATGGTTTACCTGGGCTCACGGGCTCACAATTATAAACTAGTTTACTGTTATTAATTGGTTTACCATGCCCAATCTGGTAAGCAGACGAGAAGCAGTAGGTTGCGATATTATCGAATCGGCTTATGAGAAAATAAATTTGTGTCGAGATTTTGAAACATCGCACACGGGCGTAAATTTATCCCAAATTGCGAATAATTTTGCTTATTTGGTTTGCTTTTTCACGGAATTCTCAATTCAGATTTCAATTTACCGTTTTCGATCACGACCTAAATCTTGTAAGAAGTAAAAATAAATTCGTGAGTTAGATAAAAAAAAGTTAACTAAAACAACATTTTAAATTGAATAATTTAGGAAAGAATTGAAATTGAGACTTGTAGTTGGGGTCATGTCTATTGTGGCGCTAGCGTCACTAGGCTTTCCTCTCATTTAGTAACGTCAAAGTCTCAAAATATATAATGCATTGTTTCAAAACCGAGGAAAATTTTCAGTGTTCACTTTGCATTTGTAGTCTGTGTAGTTTTATTGACATTCTTTACTTATTTAGTATCATCGTGACGCGTAACGAACTATTCCAGGGGTGCGCAACCTTTAAGAAAGAAGGCCTGATAACTGGGTAAAACCGCGGCCGCCCGTTTACTTAACCTAGGCTATCTAGTAGTTGCAGGCACAATAATGTTGGTTAGTGATCTCATGACATGCGTTGTTCACACGAGCTATTAAGGCATTGCAACATCATTGACATAGGTAATTCAACTTGGGTGTAGGTTTCACCGCAAAGGGATTGGAAGTAATAAATTAAAAGCTCGTTTCGTGGGCCGCACATATTTCAAAATTGACACTTTTTCTCGGGCCGCAGGTTGCACGCCCTTGAACTATTCTGTATAAAAGTCAAATTTCGAGTTGCGTTGTTAATTTTCAATTAACCATCAATTAAAGATCGCACAACGAATAACGGAAACACTTCTTGTGCAAAATAGCTTAAAAAACAACTACGTGAGTTCAATTGAAAGTCTTTGAAACAATTGGTAAAGTTGGGAGCCACTGATTTAACGAATAATGTGTAAAGATAAAATTATTGATAAAATATTCAATGAAAAAAATTAGGTTAAAACAGAAATTTAAAAATTTTGGGAAAGAAATATTTTAGGTTTCGAACCAGAAGTTGCGCTATCAAAAAAAGTTTATAACGTATGATTCATTTATTGCGTCAACAAGTGTCTATATTATGACGCCATACATGTATTATTGCGCCAAACCTGGGTGTTACGTCGTCATGCTCAGTATTATGGGGTCACATATTAATGTGGCGTCAAATTTCTATATCATGACGTCACGCTTTGTAAATTTCCAATTGGTCCGTTACTTGTGAGTACCCCCCCCCCCAAGCACCCCAAGTGCAATATCACCAATAGCTATAAAATTGCCATCCTCCCTCACTTCCGTTTGTTGTTAAATATCAGATGAATCCCTAGATAAGCTATCGATGAGCGCGAATCTCACTCTGGCTTTTGTAAAATCTGAACAGTATAAAATGTGCGAGTAAATATGCATCTCGCGTAAGTCTCGCGTAATCCCGGCTGATAATTAAGTAAACTATAGTAATGAAACTACATGCAAATTCCAAGTAATATTTCTCTGAAATTTCTAAATTCCCACCAAAACGCCGGTATACTATGACGCTTTGAAATAAAAAAATTTCATCTAAATTATTACGAAACAAACAGTAGTTACAAAACAATACGTCAACGAAATTTAAACAATTTCGGAGAAATTAGTTGTTTGTTTATGTCATAAACAAGATTACATTAACATATTATTATCATCCCATGACGCATATAATGCTTTGTTTTCGTGGGAAATGTCGTAAAAAAATATGGCATTTCGGAGTAATTTAGTGTAGTAGGAAAAGGAATTGTGTTGACGAGACCGTATCTGGACAGAATATATTACCGTAAAAAAACCGACGCATATTCTGCCCATATTTGTTTGTCGATATATCCCGTTCTTATGCACCTGATATAAGTTCAGTGGATTGGCGAGGTACGGTATTCAGTATCGTATTTGAAGCGAGAACATAAAATCTATTCTTACATTTAAAGCGCCTTAAACCAGTAGAGGGCGGGAGCGGTTAATACAAGTGCGAGCTGGGTTGTTGAGCCAGAAACCGCTAACTAAATATCGGTTTTCCTTTTCTTTGCTTCTGTTTATCTTGTCTCAAGTCAGATTAAGTTAAACCCCGAAACGTGGACCGTCCTTAAGGAGATCCGAACCCAGTTTATTCTACGCTTTCTTTTTACCGACCTTGTGCGGTTTCACCGTTTCACCCAACTTCAACCTTTACCGACTTAATTAATACAGACCCAAATGAAGTATAGCCGGTAAGCAATGGAAGTTCTCCCGGGCATCGATTTCCTTGTTTATTTATGTATCAATGACCAATCAGCAAAAAGTCAGCGATGACGTAATAATTGCAATTTTCGGGATCACTCAGACTGAAGCATGGTTGTAGAGATTGTCTCGTTTTCGCGGTTTTGCGTTTTATTTTTATATTTTTCAGTTGTATTTCCAAAATCGTTGCAAATGAAGTAATTTAATTGTCATTATATTTTCCGATGAGCTTTGGTTTAGTTGTAATAATCGAAAATTAGTTCCGGAAAAATTGCGATACACTAGCTTAACTACCAATACCTGTAAGCGACACGTACTTGTATATTTTGATAAAATTGATGGTTTTGCGTGAAAAGTTTGTAAGTGCCAAATCTTCAAAACACTCGCAAAAAGGAGATTCAAACTTTGCGATAGTAAAGTATAAGGAGATGGGGTCAAGGGTCGGGGAAACATTTATAACAAGATATTAACCCTTTCCATGCGATTTTATTTTTTATTAAAGAATCGTATTTGCTACGCCGATTTTATGCTTTTGTACCCCCACAACTAATCGATCGACTAACGAAAAACTAATGATCCTCTGTTGCCCACTGACGGCTCGTTGGAAAGCTTATTTAAAGAGCTTGCAATTGGCGATTGAAAAAAAGTTTTTCTAAAAGTGGTGGTCTGAGTCACAAACCGGATAGAAAAAAGGCATTTTTTTTTCCTGGGAGTTGAAACTTCAAACCGTGATGAAAAATAGAAATATTCGCTAAATCCTTTATTGTTACATTTGTTACCGCTTCGTGGTTGGCAAACAATAGCATAATATTGCTGTAGCAATTTCGTGATCCAACTCAAAATACTTTGGTGATGGAAAGGATAATATGTCTTCTATTACCACCCAAAAAACACCGAAATTTGCATAAATTTCAAAAACACTCCCTCGTTCCGCCGCAAATAAAATTCCCATCGTAAACGAAAGCGAGATTTACCGTCGCTTATGTTAATCTCGAAGAAGACTTCTTATCAATAAACTAAAACCCGAAAAAACTAGACCAACAGTTTGCGACCGATTGCTAAATAAAACAGTGGAGTACATCAACGTACCCGCCGCAATCTAGCGACTTTTGTCGTGGGTACGTATACGTGCCCACCGCACGGAAAGGGTTAACTGCAGCCGAATTGATGGACTTAACTCCCTCTTATGACGTCATATCACGACATTATCTGTATGACATCATAGATTCCCACCATATCATATTATGACTCGATTGGTTCTAGACTTCAATCTAGCTAATCCAGTCAGAATATATGTAGAATTATTCAGACGTAGAAATTCTGTCCGTTTTTATGAACAGATTATTTTAATGTTCGCAGATTTTAGCTCTCTAGTCCAGCAATGGCCACGACCATATATTGTCATAAAATGTTTAAACTTCTATTTCAAATAAAAACAATGATTTTGATTGGCTGTTGGATAATCACGTGGATAAATCTGATTGAAGGTAAGGACGAACATATTTTTCATTTGCATATTTTATTTTTTTCTTCTGTATTTTTCATGTGAGCTGTAACGTATAATCTCATATTTAAATTAAAAAAATATTTGTGCAATCAATCACGTATGCGCTGTATACTGATATTATGGCGCCACATTAAACTAGTATGGCGTAATTCTTTCCCAATGACGTCACATTTCATCACTATGGCATATTTTATAAGATTTGAGTCGCACTTTATTATTATGACGTCAAAATCCTATTAATATGACGCCTCGCTTTATACTATGCCGTAATATTTTGTTTTTTTACTACTTGGCACCCAATTATAGAATCCTTATGTGATGCAATGCGATTATGATTTAATCTGAAATGTTTTCATACAACCACTGCATCCTTGTTGGAGTCTTCAACCAGCACGGCCACAGTATAATGCAGCGCATTCCACTCTGAATAAGACTCTGTATAAGCGCCCTCAGACATGCAAGGAGTTATTTGAATCAGTGATAAGCGAGGTTAAAATTTTCAACTAAAACTTAAAAAGCATTAGCTGACCAGACATTCGCATCAAACAAATTAAACAAGGCCCAATACCAAAGTTTTTTTTTGGTCAAAATTCGGTTTTCCTGGCGTGGTAGCTGAAGACAAAAATTCTAATATCCGAGGTGGGAATCAGTTTTTAAATGACATGAAGAGCTATTAGTCGGACGTAAACTTACCCGATTCTACTGCCATGACTATGATAGGTTTGACTTCATCTTTCATCTCGACTTCAACTAATCGTTATGAACGTAACTTTTATTAAGGAGGGCGGACGCCATCACGGGGCTCAAGTTACGAATACGCTCGCACAGACGACGATGAGCCGGTTTACCAAAGCTCTCTGCTGCCAACTTGTGCCGAATCGTGCTACGGGAATGTAAACAAAACCAACTGTACAATGAGTAATTGCTTGATCCAAAATAAGGTAAGTTATCGGATGAAAATGTGTTTGTCTTGGAAGAGAGTGACACACGGCGATTCACCGCCTCTCATCTGGTTAGCATTCCATGTCGGGTATGGTATCAGTTAGCCAGTTATTTGTTCCAGATACATGGACTTGATGGTAGCGGAAGACGTAACCGACAAGCAATTGTGTGAAGCACTCTGCGGCGGCGGGTAAAACAGAAATTCTCTGCCACATAATTATCCCCCACGGGATTCGACTTAAACAGAAAATAGTGCGATAAGTTATTCAGGTCTCACTAACGCAAGGTATTTTATTTCAACTGTTTCCCAACTACAGTAGAATTATTTTTGCGTGAGGAAGTCTGACTTTGGTCAAACGTAACGTTACAAAAAGATTTTGTATTTGAGTTTATGTGCAGCAAAACTCTCAAATCGCATGGTCCTCTTCACTCTTGCTACAGCATCTAGGGCAGGGCTACTCAACTATTTTTACCGAAGATTCGCATACAAAACTTCAAAAATATTTGGGTCCGGACTTTCCAAAATTATATTTTGTCCTCCTTAAACACGCACTTCCTCGGCGAAATAATTGAAGCTTGTGTTCATTTTACCATACGCATACGGAGCCACAAAATTCCAATAGAAGATTGAGGATTAACATTTTAGTATTTTTGAATCCTTTAAAAACCTTATTATTGACAAATATTGTTTACAGCTCGATTGCGAGAAAGTCTACTATGAGAACGCGACGCCTAAACAGAGGAAATACATGGATTTTATTTTGAAGAAATACAGAAAACGACGGTACAAATGCAGCCACATGATGAGCAAGATATGCATACTCAAACAATTATACATCTTCAAACAGTTCGTATATGTACCGGACTATTACAACCAACAATGCGACTTCTGTAACAAACTTGCATCGGGCAATATATCGGGTATGCAAGTGAACTGTCCGATCAAAGATTTGCCTGTTAATACAACATGAAATAGTCTTATTGATAAGCTGTAGAGTCGGGAAAGTTTAAACCGGATACTGTTCTCGACTCCGTTGTAAATCCGGTTACGACTCCCACATTGAACAAAAAAAATCACTCCGACCTCAGCTTCGGGCATAAACATAACCTGTTTTTGACTTGGTAAAATCTCCAAACTGGTTCCCAATTTTGACTTCGTGTTTTTCAGTAAATCTGATTCCGACACCGGATAATAAAGTCTCAATCATTTGCCTAAGAGATTTATAATCTAAAATAAGTTTCACTCAACCTTTCTTTCACCATTGCTTTTCATAAAAAGTAGATCCTTCAAACCAGCGGTTCAAATTTTTATCCAAAAGATCCAAATTTTGTAGCAAAATAAATTTTTGTAAAAGATTTGACTTTGTTACATAAATATATCTATAATGCCAGGAATTTTACATTTTCTCTTATAGTTATTGCTTATTTTTAAAGTTCAATATATCTTTTACTTTCTGTATCAGTGATTTCTCAAACTTTTTAAGACGAACCTTTTTTTTGAACTTGTCAAGTTTCGCGCTCCACCTTAAAAATAACTAGCTAACAACAGACTACAAATAACAGATAGTGAAGCGAAAATACGTTTCATTCAAAAAACATGTTGAAATAGGTGAATGAAATCGCAATCTCTAAACATTAAAGAAATGTAACTATCCAAAATAGGGACGGGTAAGATGAAATCTAACAATTTTTTTTATTTTTAATTAGCTTCACGTCCCCTCAAATAATTGTCTTCCCCCCTTTTTTGTTGGCGCGTCCCACCGTTTGAGAACCCCTGCAGGTTAGGTTCGATAATTGTTCCCGAACAATGAATGATGCGAAACCCTTGAATTCACACGAACTTAAATGTATGGTACATTTACAGTAGAATCAGATTTTGAATGAGTTGATGCTTTATTGGTTGGTGCGTTGTATCCGCTTATGTTAGCATTGCACTTTGGGTATCTCAAGTCCAAACTCCATATCTGTCCCCTCACCCAAAGTGTGAAAAAAACAAAAACCGGTTCTTTTCAAAAAAACATTTTAGTGTGTGTCAACGGACGTTTATATGAATACTTTCTCCGTGTGAAGGTGCGAATAATTCTCACAAAAACGTGGGTAAATCAGTTATATTTCAAACAATGTTCTACGTTTGCACGCCTGAAATTCCGGTATGACGAATCGTGCTGAAATAGTGTTTCATTGTAAGGATTTATGATACGAACTCTTATCCCGTAATATATCACGCAAAGTGTCAAGCAATCCTGACTCACAAAATTCTCTTTTACCTTTACACACACACACGCGCTCACTCCAAATTCAAACTTGCAAACCAAAGCGCTTAACAGAGTTTACTATTTCAAAATATTTTTCATTTGTGACGTATATTACTTTGTTTTTTTTAATTTAAATGTTTGTATTTTTAATACAATGAATTATCCTCAGATTTTGTTCTTTTTTTGGAGAGTAATGGAGAGAAGTTCTAATTTGCATATTGAAATAAATTTTCGTAAAGCCAAAACAACATTATTACTTTCGGAACTCGTGACCGAAAATAAAAACGAATGATTAGTTTTCAGTTTCAGCGTTACCAGTTTATTAAATTTTGAATTCCTTACGACTGAACAGTCTTAGTGTCGCCAGTTTATTGGATTTCTCACGACTAAACAGTTTCAGTGTTGCCAGTTTATTCAATTTCTCACAAATAAACAGTTTCAGTGTTGCCAGTTTATTGAATTTATTATATCTGAATAATTCCAAAGTTGCCGGTTCATTAGGGTATGGGCAAAAAGGTCATGTTGTTGGGTACTCCAGAAGTATGTGCACCAAGATGGCGAACACCGGAACGTCGTATGTGTACCAGGTTAGGGTTAGGCTATAATTCCAGGTACAAATGCTACGGGAGTCACTTGGCTAGTCACCGAACTCGTAATAGAACTAAAATAAGGAAAATTTAAATAAAGTTATGGCCTAACCCTGACCTAGTACACATACAACGTTCCGGTGTCCGCCATCTTGGTGCACATTCTTCTGGAGCGCCTGCTATTGAATAGGATTTAGAATAAAGCTTTGCATCTGATATAATATCACATCGCTTGTAGTAAGCTCTCTCGATGATTGTAAGCTCTCTCGACGAATAAATTCAGATCAAGTCGAGTTTATTTTCCCAATTTGGTGAAAATCAATTGTACACAAATTACAACAAAACATAAGCGCATTGTACTGGCGGGGTAATAGAATCCACGGGAAACCAAAGCCGGTTATCAAACAACGGCACCCAAGCTCCAAACATCTAAATCAGCGTTTCTCAAACAGTGTGCCAGATTCTCAGGTGAGCCGCGGAACTTTTTAGACTTCTAGAAAATAAGCTATTCGTATTACAAATAGGCATGCAACAGGCAAGCTCGTGAATTTTGAGTGCGCGCTATCCGTTATTGCATTTGCCATGTCGACGAAGAAAGAGTGATTGTTACGCTTTAATTGTTTTGGTTTGTTACGTCATAATATAGCCTGTTTGTAAACAAGGCGTCCTTCCATCATGTTCACCTGCGCGTTTATTTCAGGATCAGGCTCTTTTTTGTATTTCGATCCCCAGTAATGTCACAGTTCACTTAATACTGTACAAATTATGATATTACACTGTTGTCACGAGTTTGCGTTTTTCCTGGCATGGGACTCGTTGTCAGTTCGTTGTTTCAGGTTGGCTTTTGCAGTTGGCAGCGCGTTTTGATTTAGGATTAGGGATTTGGATTTCTGAGTTTGCATTGACGACAGTGTATATCTGTTTGTTATTCGCATTGGTACTTGGTAGATAATTTTACATTTGGTTTTTCAATGGCGTCCATACAACCGTCGACTTATACTTAATTGGTAGTCAAAAAATTTCTTCAAATATACAGCAATAACTCACGTTTTAAATCAGTTGTAATCAGTGATAAGCTGGAAAAATCGTAACAACCGGAACGCACCAAATTCGTGTAAATGTAAAATATATTTACAACGCGACGCTACCGGTAGTTTTGTCTGTCGTGAACTAGAGCCGGAGAACTACAATGAAATATGAAAAAAATTATCCGAAATATGACTGTTTGAAATTGGAAGAATATTCATACTAATTCAATACAAATGTTATTATTAGATAGATATTGAATGAATTTTCACGGGGGTCAAAGGTCGGCGAAACGTCCATTACAGATTACACGTTGCTGCTGTGCACTAATTATTTGCCAGCTGTAATGTCGGCCAACGCCAAAGTAAACAAACAAACAATTTTTCTGTTATTTCTTCTTTCCATTTGCACCTTTTCTATTCAATATGTCGGAATGTAATTTTAACATGTATTTGCTACGTGTTTTCAACATTATTATAATTTTTACACATTTTATGTCCGAGTTTTGTGGGGCTTAAGACGGATTAGGTTAAGCGAATTCAGTGGAGAAAACGTTTTTATACATTGGGTTTTGCAACACGATTTTGCTAGCCAGTTTTGCTATAACAGTGGCGCTCCTGTACTGGTACAAGCTTTGCGACGCAACGAGATTGGAATTGCTCTCGCGTACCAGATTAACTAAACTAAAAACTTGTTTCGTGGGCACACCATTTATAAGTGGCACTTCTCCGCGAGCCACAGTTAGCACACCCCTGCTATAAACAATAGAGAGCGATGTATTCTTATCGATCCGTGTCACTCGTCCGTGATATACTCATCCGATATACTGCTGCGTCCACTATTGTGCTGAAGCTTAACAATTGCGCTTGTTTCACAGGATGCTCACATCTTTTTATCAGTGGTTGAGTAGTATGATTGAGAAATGTAGCCCCGTTCATTCTGAACAGCTGGCATCGGATAATCAAGTTTACTGTATTTTCTCAATTAGTAAAAATCATTCGTACACAAATTACCCGAGTAATTAAGTACATTAGATTTAGAGTTAGACTAAGGAAACGAAGCCATAGGAAAACAAATCTGGTTATCGAGCAACAAAATGAATAATGTTGATTTCAGTTTTGTATTACTGTTACCTGTCGTGAAGTATGGCTCTGATTATTTAACCCTGGGGTGCGCAACTTTTAAGAGCCACAGGTTACTCATCCATGTTTTAACCAACCAACATTGTCAATCGGATACTACATTTAAACGAGCCATAGAACCAACCAATGGACTTGATATTCAACAAGATTTGCTGAACGAAAGTTTTACTGCTGTGAAAAGAAGTTTGACGAATATTGAAAGTGGCCTAGCCATACAATATGGAAGTACTGGACTGTGCGCACTGGTAGATAACACAAGATAAAGACAACCAGGTAAAATAAACCAAAATGTAATTTAGTTGACACATATAGTTTTACATTTCTGAATCGTGTAAAATTGACCATTCATATCGGCGATGACAATTCTGCAGAATACAGATTCTAGATCCGACTCTACGGCGAGTCTCGACCTATATTTTGTCATCATATTGATAGAGCTGAAAATGCTGCCTCACAAATGTTGGTCGTTGCAAAAGGCATACATCAGCAATGAATATTCGTCCGCAACGCTTAATTAACCCAAATGCTGCAATAGCTTTTTGATTAAAATAAATCATTAAAGATCGATCAGACTCTTTTCTTATCGTTGCAGACCCCCACCGCGGTCACCACGGACCCCCGGTTTGGAAAACCCTGCGCTAAATAATTTTAATCGTTCTGTGCAAGGTTGTTTATGTTGCATAGATGCCGTGTTCTGATATGAACTATCATTAGGAACTGAGAATATTGTTACAAGTAATTATTTTACGTTTGATACTTTGTGGTACCATCTAATTTTCGTTATTTGTTTTATATACTTTTATGAAACAAACTTTTTCTTTAATATTTACTCAGATCTTACCGCGGGTCGTGGTTAAAAAGCCCTTTTTTATCAATCATGTTATTATCTGAAAAACAAAGTACCAAATATAAAAAATGATAAGCTGGTTATGGCGAGGAAAGCTTTACAATTATAGAAGATCGGTCTGCGACACAATCAGAATTGGATTGCATGGGTTGGAATTAATACTGAAGGATTAATTAGAGTTAGTGAGGGGAGCACAAAATAGCGAGATTTTTATTATAAATTGCAGAAGTATTTCATAACAAGCTGACATTGGGTTAATTCAGTGAGTGTTGAGGTTTTTAGTAAACTTAAACTGAAACCTGATTAAAATCTAATTTTTCGCTACTTTGAAATGCATTTCCGTTACTAAATTATAAAACGCTAGTCGTGAATATCACAATAAATTTACAAGGAAATCAACTTTTTTAGAGTATGGACTAGAGTCCAGTGATTCTCAAACTAGGGTTGCTTTCGTGGATTTTCAGTTTTTGTCGCATTTCTGAATATTATGTATAAATCAAATACCTCAATGATTATTTCAATTTTCAGAGCATTTTAATTTTGTTCCAGTAATCGAAAATAGTCCAGAAATATCTGGCGATCATCTCAGGCAGCTACTGCACCTTGCATCCTCCACGATTACGACCTTCTTTGACAAACTTATTAGAAATCAGAGCCAAATTGAATGGCTGTTAGTCTAGGGTGGGCAAAATCGAATCTTTTTTCGAATCAAATAATTTGAATATTTTTAACGAATACCAAATAGTCGAAAAATAAATATTTTTTATACATAACAGGGGTGCAGAATACTCCACTTGGAAATTAATAGAAACAATAAAAAGTGGGCAATAAAGCGTTTTTATCTGGTTAATGGTTAATCTCATCATAATCGCTGATTGTCTTGGTCACCGCAATCGTTTCGGCGGCGATATCCTGAAGTTGGTATTCGATATTCCCGACCTTTTCTCGATTTTTGCAAGAATAAGGTGTCGCCGGATATCGAAGTTCCATATTTCTAGTACACCCTTGCGTTCACATCAGCGACAGCTGTTGAATACATTATTAAGGGCTGATTTCGAAACCAAATTAATTTTAGTTTTATCCTCTGCCGTGGAATTGATCTACCTTATCACCGCTTGTAAATTAACCGTGCCTGTTTGAAGTGAACGGTAACCGAGATGCAGATATTTATTAAAATTATAATTGAGTTTCTCATGCTTTTCTATGGTGTTCGTGTTATTTTAGTATTAGATAGATAAACCTAGCTAATTTACGATTGCGTGAATCCTAAATGTTGATCGAAAATAGCGATTAAATAAATTGGCCATAAAGGCATTCCTAGGCCTTTGTGCCTAATAGAAGGTCAAACGCTAATTATAACCAATTCCTTCAAGTTTTAACTTTTTTTTCAACAAAACAACACCCCGATGGCTATTATAGCTAAAGTACTTACTGGGTATTGCTCAATTTTCTTTACGGAAATTGCAAATTCAGCACTTTGCTTAATGATTTTGATTATGTCATGCCTTAAGGCTTAATTATTACTGCCCAAATGCATTAAAATTTAACAATGGTAATCATTTTTGATGATAATAGATGCAACAATTCGTGAACGAGTAAGTGTGCATTGTTACAACGAAATTCACGATTGATTTTACGTTCTACTCTTGGCTCAACGGCCATGCATAGTCGAGGAAAATGTTTACATATTCAAAACATTACTTGGCCAAGGATGGAAGGGATCACTAAATAGCTAATACAAACTGTTTTAAATGGAGTAAGACATGACATTTCTTATCTGGTTACAACTTAATTAATGTTTTTCATACAAGTGACTCATACCATGA